CCTTGTGCCGCTATTGATTCTAGTTTGCATGGTCCAATCATTAATCCCAAAAATTTCTTCCCAATCCCTTCTCCATGTTGTTGTATAGGATTTAGGTAAGGATGAGGAGGATGCTAATGAATAGAGGTGTCAGTTGTAAAGAAAATGAAGAGATGAGAGGACGTTGAGATTAGGATTAGGCTTTAGAGGAAGGAAAAGAGAAAACAAGTAAGAAATGAAGGATATGAGGTGGTGGAGGTGCCACCAACAAACTAGGTGAGCGGGGAGTACGGTGGGAATTAATTAAAATGTTAAGAAAAAAAAGCAACAAACATTAAGGGTTGTTTTGGGAAGATGGTTAAAAGCTAACCTTTTTTTTTTCTTTTTTCTTTTTTTTACCTTTTTTTGAAAAAATGTATAAAAAGTGTGATCTAAAATGTGGTAAAAGCTGATTTTTGTTTACTAACCCACTTTTCAAAAGAGCCCTAAATTTGAAAATTGGGTTGTCCAATCAAAATTTTAGAATATATTTAGAGCCTTCCAAACATTTTTGTGGCAACTATCTTTTCCCCTATATGATCTTGAGGTAATTGTCTCATTTTTATAATATATATTTTTTTTTATGATACACTATTTGGTAAATAACTAATAAAAAAAAGTAGTCACAAGAAAGAAGCCCATAAAAAAAATGATAAACAAATGCATTATGAGATTTGTTTAAAATATTAAGTATCTCCTATAATTTTGAAAATTACAGATCACATCTTAAAATTTATAATTGTATAATAACCATTAAGTTAATTAACAATATTTAATAATATTTTAAATTAACAATTTGAATTATTTCAATATGTTATAGAAGTATAGTAAGTGTCAATTTTATTAAATAATAAATTCAAAAAAGTATTTAGAATTTTTAAAAGGACTAATTACATCAATAGTCTTTCTAGTTTCCTCAGAGTTTCAATTTGGTCCTTATACTTTCTATTCTGTTTCACTTTGATCCTTTTTGCTTTACAATATTGACCCTAAGATTTTAATTATTATATTATTCCATCTTAAGTTTTGTTATATTATAAAAGGGCTTGGTTTCTTTCAAGTTGGTAATCACTATATGTTTAAATCAGATTTGTATTACAAAAAATGAATGACTATTCTTTATATTATATTTATCGTCTATTTTTTTAAAACAAATATGATCAAAACATATAACTATCGATGTCCAACCGTTTTGATTTTTTGCATGAATAGTCTACTCAATGAGTCCTCAAAAGTGAACGATTCGAATCACCGAAATCGGCCCCAAAGTAGGTCTACCAAGTCCAAACACTCTTTTAAGTTGAGATGACAATTTGAGAGAAATTAAACCCATTATAAAAATACTTTTTTATTTTGTTTTATCACACAGTATTTTTTCTGGTGATAGTAATTCAAAAAATTCCTTTGGAGAGTTTTCCCCATAAAGACTAACGGGTGGCACACATAATGCGTGTGCAATTCAAATAAGTAATAATAAAAACAAATAATAAAGAATTTAATATCATAATATATATGTTACTTAAGTGATAAATATGTTTTTAATGAAATCTAAGGTTTTGGGTTCAAAACTTACTTACGTTTTGTATTTTAGCATATATAAACTTGCCACGTGGAATGCGAGGAAAAAGATTTCACTAAACCAATTTAGGCCTTCACTTAATATAATAGTATAGATAAAGATATTCATTTGTAGTGTTTTCTTACTTATTTTCTACAATAACTATTTGTTTACATTTATCTGATAGTAGGTGTCAAATTTCATGTATAATTTTTAAATGATTTTCCTTAAGACTTTTGTTAAATTCTTTTAATAACCTGATTATAGTAATATTTTGTTCAATTATTATTTGTTGTGAAGTCCTATTATTTAAATTATTTGATTCAATTTCTTCAGTATATCTAATACTCATATATTTATATTGACAAGTCCGAGAAAAAGTACCAATTCTAAACACATGTAATTTTATAACGATTTTATAATTTATAGGGATTTTATAATTATCCTAATAGGGAAATAGGGCCTTATAGTAATTAATATAACTTTTGGGTTTATAATTTATTTTTATATTTCTTTCAAGGTAAATTGATTTGGAATTTAATCTTCATAGACTTAATCGACACAATTAGAACTATAACAATTAAAATGAAACAAATTTCAAACTTAAGAAACTATGGCTATAATTCACCTTATTCTAAATTAGAGTGAATTATAAATATACCTTATGAGATTTGTTTAAAATACTACTTGTCCCATATAATTTTAGAAATTACATTTCGTTTCTTCAAATTTATAATTTCGTAACAAAAAATTATTTTTATTAATAAATCATCAAATTAATTAACAATTTTTAATGATATTATAAATTTATTTTAATTAATAATTTGAATAATTTTATCATTATATAGGAGAAGAATTAAGAAGGATTTGTATTTTAAATAAATTTATATCGACTTATTTATAATTGGGAGGGGCTTCTCTCTAATCTATTATTGTGCTATTGGACCTGGGAGGCCCATCACGAGTCTCATTTCAATGATTCAAATCGTTCAATGTGTAGAACTCGTCGAGTAATTTATTTTTGCTAAAAATTACGTTAATCGGATATTAATAACTCTTTAATCATATCATATTTTTGTTAATGGTAAATATGATTTTAAAAATAAATTGTTAACAAAAATGTGTTTTAATTAAAGGGATATCAATATATGATTAATATAATTTTTTACAAGAATAAAATACTCGACAAATTCTATACATTGATCGGTTTGAATTATTAAAATGAAACTCATAATAAGGTCCCAAGGCCAAATAGGGCAATTTGTGTTCAGTAGAGAATCCCTTCTTCTCTTTATAATTTACATTAAAAAACATGATGATACTTTGGGGTGTTTTGGGAAGGAACTAAAAAAAAAAACTAAAAGTTAACTTTTTATCAATTTTGAGTCATATTACCTTTCATATTAAATAATCAAAAAATAAAAAAATTAATTAATTTTTTGCCATCCTTTCAAAACACCCCTGTATATAGTTTTGATAGCGAAGCAAACTCAAAAAAGCCAAGCCAGCCAGTGATCGGGGTCACATTTGAATCGTCGATTCCTCTCTCTCCAACGTAGATTAGAGAATGAATTAGTATGCTTGGTTTGAGTTTTCTAAATTAAGGCATTGTTTGGCGTAAATTAAAAATTTAAAAAGTTAAAAAAGTCACTATCCTATTTAAGTCTCGTTTGGGAACAGACTATTTTAATAACTTTTTGACTTTTTACGAAAAGATGTGCAGAAAAATTACATCCTCTTATTTAAGTCACTTCACCTCTCTATCACATTACTTCAAACTCAATCCATACCCAACTCATATTTCATAAAAAGTCAAAAAGTGTACTTATTTAGATCATCTCAAATAGAGTCCAGCTTATCTCAAGTTGAGATCAAGACTGGACCCGTCCAATTCTGCCCATGGGGCCCATTTTTTGGGTCTGTTTTGATAATCCGAACCGTTCAATGTGTAGAACTCGTCGAGTACTACATGTCTGCAAAAAATTACATTGATCATATATCAATATCTATGTGATCAAATCAGTTTTGTATAAAAAAAAATGGACAGTGAAACAATTAACAGTTGATAAAAAACTGTTTTGTTCACATAACTATCGATATCCGATTAACGTGATTTTTTACAAGTATATAGTACTTGACGAGTTTTACACATTGAACGGTTCGGATTATCAAAACGGGACCCGTGGTGGGCCCCCACGGACCCAACAGCATGGTCCAGTCCGATCTTGGATTGGACCAAAGCCACTGCCTCTTAAATAACCCCTAAGTTTTTAAAAAATTGAGTTTTTTGGTTTTTGTATTTTTTTATTTTTGTGAATATTTTAAATATTTTTTTTTACTTTTTTAAATGCACCTTATTTAGATGTATCTAAAAAGTAAAAAATTTGTGAAACAATATTTTAAAAAAATTAATAAATACATAAAAATATAAAAAAAAGTGTACTGAATTCTTATATATTTTTATATTTTTGGTATTTATTGAATTTTTAAAAGATTTTTTTTATAATCTTTTTACTTTTTAGGTGTATTTATGTTAGGTGTGTCTAAAAAATAAAAAAATTACTTAAAATATTAAAAAAAATTCAGTAAAAAAAAAAGAAAATAAGAAAATAGAATTTTTGGAAAAATGTAATCAAAATATCAATTTGTATATTAATTAGTGTATTAATAAATAATATGATATAATTTTAAAAGATTTAAACTTCTATAATGAATAAGATTGTCTCCATTTGACATAAAGGGCCTGGATTAATTTAACTATAAAAAAATAAAATAAGTTAAAAAATCAATAAGATAAAATGTTAGGCAGGAAATGGGGATGCTGTTGCGCAGCCCGCGCAGTAGCGTCTGCTGTGAGGCGATTTAGGCCCATTTTGGGACTCATTTTGATAATCAAAACCGTTACATTTTAGAATACGTCAATTAGAACATGTCTACAAAAAATTAAATTAATCGGATATCGTTTACTTATTCATCCACTCACATTTATATTCATTTCAATCAAGTTAAAATATATTTGTATTTATTTTTATAGATACAAATGTGAGGCGATGAATAAATAAATGATATCTGATTAATTTAATTTTTTATAAATATATTCTACTTAATTTATTTTAAAATATGAACAATTTACGTTATAAAAAATCAACCCCAAAATAAATCCAAAACCGCGGCACAGCAGACGCTATTACGCGGGGTACGCAGCAGCGTCCCACTTCCTATAACAATGCACCACTAGAATATGATAGAATAATGTCAGGACCCAAATGTACCAAATGTTTTATTATGAGCTTCGGAACTTTCCCCAAACAACTGTCTCTCTCTCGTTAACGATTCGCCAGAGAAAAATGCCCTCATATTCGCTAATATGCTTTCACACCTCTTAAATTGTTGTTAATTATTGTCTGGAATTGATGTTTTTGAGCAACAGGTAAAACTCATTGATTCTTTGCGTGTAATTTTCGATACAGAGTCGTTGATTTTTGAGTTTTTCTGGTCCAATTCAATGAGATTGAATTGAACTTTGATCTAATGGAGAAGAAACAACAAATTTCGATATTCACAACCGCAAGTCTGCCATGGATGACCGGAACAGCTATAAACCCTTTGTTCCGGGCGGCTTATCTAGCAAGTCATGATGAGGAGAGGAAGGTGACTCTGGTGCTTCCATGGTTGTCTTTGCAAGATCAAGAACATGTTTATCCTGACAATATCACATTCAATTTGCCTTCGGAGCAAGAGATATATGTGCGTCGGTGGCTAGAGGAACGGACTGGATTTCCATCTACTCCTTTCAACATTCGATTTTATCCAGGAAAGGTAATTTATCTTTTGAATCGAAGGAATTATGGAAGAGCATGAATGTTAATGCCTTTTTGAATTATGTGTTACCTACTTATTAATATAATTGTGTGTTAAAAACTGTGGTGTCGTGTTTTAATTGATGAAAAAGGTTCAGTATTATGGTGTTATTGTTTGAGATTGATTTTCAATTGCCTATTTAAGATTATGGGGTTTAATAAATAGATACTATACGAAAAAAGTACATGGACAAGGTATTCCACAAGCTTTAATACCCAAATCGATTGGAAAATGATTGACAAACAGAATTTCCATACATAAAATGATGGGGTAGTGACATTTTTATAATTATGAGCCACAATGATGAGTGTTTTGGCCTGAAAGGGAAAGGAGCATAAAAGGCCACATCATTCTGTATGACATTTTTGTACAAAAGTTCCGTTTGTGTAACATCAGCCCAAATTGGTTTTGAGCAGCTTTATAGAGGATCATTAGTACTGTTGTGTCTAAATGTCTGCGAATTTATCAGGGATTTAGGTTATAAAAGAGTGAGGGTTTAAATTCAAGAGGGAAATGCTGGGGATGTTTACATTTTATAGTACTGAGGTTGAATTTCTAAAATATAAGAGGGGTGGGGTTTATTAAATAGGTTTTTGGGGTACAATAAAGGTTAATAAGGTTCATTGTTTAAAAGACTCAAATTGCAAAAATATAAAATACAAGAAGTTGAAGAAAAAAAAAATTAGTTCATCATTAATTGCACATTAAAAAATTTGATGCATCTTAAAAATTTAGGCATCACATTTAAGATTGTAATAGCATCATACAATTCTTAATGAATATTCCAAACATTTGCATCATTAAGGGCTATTTTGAGAAGATGATTATAATCAGCTTTTTGGTTAAAAACTGATGATAATAAGCTTTTTGTGACAGAGGATTATAACCCACTTCCCAAAAGACCCCTAAGTTTGAATAGACATATCTACTCTATCTATACTATTATATAATAGGTCATTTGGTACGAACACTTTGGGAACTTTTATTTGCACACCACTATTCCTCTCAATTCATACCATTTTCTATGTTTACACCATACTTAATTTGATTTTTTCTCAATTCACTCTATTAATTTTTGAATAATATCAAAATACCATCATCTTCTTCAATCTCAAACCCTACGTCTAACCCTAACCCTAACCCTAACCCTAACCCTAACCCTAGTCCTAGTCCAACAGTCACCACCACGCACTGCGCCCCCTTCCTAGCCTCGTCACCCCTCCTTAGCGCTCTCCCATCACTGCCGTTGTGATCTTCCTCCCCAGCCCCATCACCCCTCCCTATCCCTTCACCGCCACTGCCTCCGCCTCCGCCTCTGCCTCCGCCACCCAAGCCCTCTCCCTTCCCCGCCATCCCGCTTTTATAGCCACTCCCCCACTCTCGCACTACCCTCCCCTACTTTTGCAGCAACATCCCCTACCTTCCTCTACTGTTGCAGCACCCTCCTTGCCACCCTCTCATTACCTTCAAAACCCTAGCCACTAGGGAGAGGGCGGCAGAGGAGAGAGGGGGGTTGGGGAGGGGCGCTATTGGGGAGGGAGGGTGCTAGAGAGGGGGCGATGGACGGGGTGATGGATGGGGTTAGGGATGGGGTAGTGGAGGAGCGAGTGGTGGCAATAGCTGGTGGCGATGGTTTGTTTTGAGAGATTAAATCTTAAAATTTTCTCCAAAATGGAAGTTTATTTGAGGGACAAATTGTAATTCAAAAATACAAAAAACCGTATGTACTGAGAGGAAGTGTGGTGTGCAATACCTGAACACTTCTGTCACAACTTTTTTTATCCCTATATTACTGTTATGTAGTTGCCAATTCAATTTTTTCCCCTCTCTTTTAACAACAAACCCATAAATATGTACACCTTCTAGTAACTATACATACACACTTGTAGGTTACTCTAATGATAATAGGAGTATAGGTTTGGGTTTTTAGAAAGTACAGAATTTGGAAACTTTAACTAGTTTGACCCAAGTTTAGAAATATTGTGACACAATAAAGAACCAGGAACAACCTCATCTGGGAAAAGAACCATGAAGCATAAGTAACTCCTATATTTAAAAAATTTGGAGCTACTAAAATATCTTTTATTCTTAAACCATCAGAGAATATATATGAAACTGAAACGGCAACATATTAACTTTTAAAACAATGTAGAACTATGGACTTCTATGTAGAACTGTATTAACCTTTTAGGGATACAATGAGATCAGTGTGAAAGTGCAAGGCTTAGAACTCCATGAAGCATGGTGTTTTTCTATTATAAAACCATTTTTCCCCTTCCAATGTTTTACTTACATGGACCTTTAATGGTTGGAGGCAATCCTTTTTTGATGCAAGTCTGGGATGTGTATGGTTACTGGAACTTATGAATGAGGGTATTAATGAAAAGGAATCAAATCCAAATTATAGAATCAATTTCACCTTGCTGAAGATAAGATGATTTTTTCTTTTTTTTCTTTTTAGTCAATTTTTCAATCTTCTAAAAGGGATTGATTGAATGGAGATGCTTGGGATGATCATGTATAACTTCCATTACCCTTTGTCAATGTCACTATTGAGTTTGTTGTTGTAGTTTGTCTTTTGCATTTTGAGATGGCCAACTTTTCAACTTTAGGCTCCTTTTTTTCCTTCTAACAACCATGTGTGAGGCTGAAGTTAGAGAAAGTCTCCCATGTGCGCTGCCCCATTAGGTATGCTTGATTAGAAGGAGATTTTGTTCCCTTTGCTAAGACTTGAATACAAGGTTTTCTTATATTGTTTGGGTTTAGCCTCACTATTGGGTATGGTTTTTTCAACTTCTGAATTTACACGTGCTTGAAAATTCTGGTAATATTTATAGGGCTGCAAACGAACCGAACCGAACTGAGCCGAGCCGAGCTTTGCTGAGCTCGAGCTCGGCTCGTTTACTTATCGAGCTCGTTTATTGAGCTCAAGCTCGGCTCAGCTCGGCTCGTTAATATTAATGAAACTCGAGCTCGACTCGATAATTTTTTTAAAATATTATTTATATTATTTAAATAAAAATATCTAAATAAAAAATATTATATATATTATTTAATATCTATTTTAATATATAATTTAAATTATTTAATATATAAATAATATATTTATTATATAATTTAAATAATGATAAACGAGCTGAGCCTAACTTTCCGAGCTTATTCGAGCTCAAGCTTGGCTCGTTTACTAAATGAGCCTACGAACTCGGCTCGTTTACTAAACAAGCCTAATATTTGAGTTCGAGCTCGGCTCGTTTACTAAACGAACCGAGCCGAGCTTGTTCACGAACAGTTCGGTTCATTTGCAACCCTATATATTTATAATTCTTCCACATTTTATGCAATGTGAAAAATTTGATGCTAGGATCTATCCCACGCTCTATGTTATGCATGTACGATAAGAAGGGATAGATCATAAAAAGTTCAGGTACAAGTTGGTTCTAGAATTTAGCTGTTGAAATGTTGTAGAAGCCAATCATAGTGTTTTGAGCTTTAAACAAAAATCAAGATGAAAAGTGAAGATAATTAGTTTAATTCCAAGGAAATATGGTATTTTGTTGAAGATAAATTTTCTTTTTTTCCCCTGGGCTACTGTTATTGGTGAATCAATCTTTGATTGCATCATACTAGTGCCAAAGACAAGTACCGGCACTAAAGGTGTTCCCATATTATAAAGTATCATGTTATGTGAAAAATTTATTTGATAGTTGGTATTTGGAATGGGTTGTCATTTTGAAAATAAGTGGTCCCCCACAACCCCCCCCTCCCGTCCCCTCCTTTTTTTTCTTCCTTCCTTTTATCTTGTCCTTTTCTCTATCTTGCATATAGTTCTAATCCAAATCATCACATATGTCTTATTTTTCTAAACATTATTTATTTATTTGCTGGGCTTACATTGCAGTTTTCAACAGACAAAAGGAGTATTCTTGCTGTTGGGGATATCACAGAAATTATCCCTGATGAAGAGGCAGATGTTGCTGTCCTCGAGGAACCTGAACATCTTACATGGTATCACCATGGCAAAAGATGGAAAACAAAATTCCGCCTGGTTGTAGGAGTTGTTCACACCAATTATTTGGAATATGTGAAGAGAGAAAAGAATGGACGATTGCAGGCATTTTTTCTGAAGCACATCAACAGTTGGGTTGTTACCATATATTGCCACAAGGTATGTCTTTTGGTAACTTTTTATCTTAAAGAAATAAATTGTTTGTGAATTGTAAAGGGGTTACGACAATTTGTTTTTGTAATTTAATTTAGAATTACCAAACCAAACTAAGCCTTGTGTACCAATCAAATGGAGTCAGCTACATGAATCGTTTTTTGCCATTTCTACTCTCCCAATATAATTTAGGATTAGCCCCTCTTAAATTCTTTGATCATACAACACACTTGGAGATGGGAATAATTTAATTCAACAAGTGGGCTTGTGCTCATCCGATGGGTGTGTTTTTGAATCTGTAAAATATAAAGTTTCATTTTGATGTTGTGTGTGGCTCAAGTGGTAAAAATGTTGTTTCGTAGACCGAAGGTCTTGTGTTTGAATCCCATCCACCTCACTATATAAATTTGTGTTTTAAATTTCGGAAACGAAAATGTCACATTGTGTCAACACCATGGGAAGCCTTCACTTTATAATAGTATAGATAGCTAGATAGACAGATAGATGATTATTTTTTATTTTTTTTTCTAATCAAATTATCAATAGTGGGGATCTTACCCTACACTGCACACCAAACAAAAAATGTCACTTTAGATGGAGCCTTAGTACTCCACAATCCTCTCAAGGGAAAAGAGATACCCTATGGCCCGCAAGGATCTCGTAGTACATAACTACATATGATATATAACACTGATTAAAATCTCAATTGAAAACTTGCTCCGGCTACCTTGTTACTCACCTCTGTCCTTAGAACACTTGTTTCCTCTACTCAAATTACCCTACACAAAACAATGTACATGTACAGTATAATCGCATTTGAATGCAGAAGTCTTGCTTTATTTATCCATTTCACTTTCCTTGTCTAAGCCTCATGGGTTATAATAGAATTATGTAGGTCTTTACTAAGGTTGAGTGGTCTCAATTATGGTACCCTTGGGACCCCTCAAAGTAACCATGGAGGTCACCTTTCACCAAAATATAGCAAAATTAAGTTGGACATTAGAACCTCAACAGGGGATGTTTGAACCTTGGAACTCCAGTAGGCCCCATTTGAAGCTCACGTGAAGCACATTCAAACTATGGGAAAGCTTGTGCAAAGCTTGTTCGAACTTCAAAGACTGCACTAGAGCTCTTTGGTTATTTTCCAGGGATATTCTCCATTCAAGGCATTCCAACCATGTTCTACCCTCCAAGGGACTTTCCAAAGGTCTCAACATGCTAAGTCACAAATATATTGTTCAAACAAAAAGATGAACATCAAGGTTATCAAAAAATGCTAATTTGGGTCTTTTCCAATCAAAATCATGCATTACATGGTTCTCTATCTTGTTAGGCATAACATCAAGTTTCATGTTCATCACTGGTCTTTTATAATCATCAAAATCACACAAAACATTTGTGTCTATCTTGCCCAAATTTAGGACACCTAAGAATTTTCGATGCACAATTAGGGGTAATTTATTTTACTACTACAAAGGTTTGGTGCTATTAACAATTTTTATCCTATTTCACTCTCCAAAAGAATGGTTTGGCCGCCAATTGTTTCTTTTGCAAATTTGAATACTTGTAAGTTATTTTAAAAATATTGGGTCATATTAATTACTTCCATTGTTTAACATTTAATTCATTAATCATGCTTGTCAACACATTATACATAATAAGTATATGAAATTCTAGGGTCTCACAGCGTTGGTAGGGGATGGTCTGGCCATCCCTCTTTCTTACCCCTTCCAAAAATGTGAAGTCTCTTGAGAAATCCATTCGAAGCCTGGGATTGGACAGGATTGGAGGCAAGGAGACGTGGAATCAAAAACTCCTGCTGTGCATAGAGTCACATTTTGATTGGCTTTGCTAGTAGTCATGTGTTGAACATTCGTGCAACCATTACTCAAATTTAGATTGAAGCAGGGAAAGTACCCTCTGCCCTGCTGTTTTTTAGGGGGAGTGTGGGTTTACCAAGATGGATGGTCTTATTTTCTTTGATAAGTTGACGATTTTCATTGTAGCCTTTTCTTTTCTTTTAATTTACTTCTTTCCCTGCTGAATCCACGTGCTATAATTATGTTGTTTTGATTAGTAAGAACACTGAGAGTATGATTGGCTAGGCATTTTTAAGGAGCATGGATAGGTTTTCAGCAATCAAAATGGTAATTCTTTTTCCTTGGATGCGTCATTTCTATATTACGTAGAAATAGCTGTTACGTTTGTGCCAATTGATCCCTTTGTGTGTTTTTGTGCACATGCATGAGCCAAAGTGGCACCTTATTTGATCTGGATCTTGCATTCCCTAAATTACGTATTGGTCATGTGACGAGCTGGAGAATCTCTGACGATGGCCCACTGGACATATTTTTGTAGTGTTGATTGTTGAAACTTTTCATTCCAACCCGAAAAATATTGCTGGATTACCGGATTTTACTTTATGAAATGGCAGGTGATTCGTTTATCTGCTGCTACCCAAGATCTTCCAAGATCTATTATTTGTAATGTTCATGGAGTCAATCCCAGGTTCATTGAGATTGGAAAGAAAAAGAATGAACAACAGCAGAATGGAAACCAAGCCTACACAAAAGGTGCCTATTACATTGGCAAGATGATATGGAGTAAAGGCTACAAGGAGCTACTTAATCTTCTTCATGATCATCAGAAGGATCTGACTGGGCTTGAGGTTGATCTATATGGGAATGGGGAGGACTCTGCTGGAGTTAAGGATGCTGCAAGTAAATTGGAATTAACAGTTAGGGTTCATCCTGGCTGTGACCATGCCGACCCTTTATTTCATGAGTAAGCTGTCTACCTGTTTTGACTTGTAACATCAAATAGAATTATTCTTCTTGCGAAAATACTAGTTGAAAAAAAAAATCTAGAGTGTGGAAAACCAATGAAAAACCATTTAATACAGAAACCCTCAAAAATCAGTTATTTCCGTGATTTACTATTTTCCTGTTCTGTTCCAGCTATAAAGTGTTCCTAAATCCAAGCACCACAGATGTGGTATGCACTACCTCAGCAGAAGCATTGGCAATGGGCAAACTAGTGGTATGCGCGAATCATCCTTCAAATGAATTCTTCAAGCAGTTCCCAAATTGCCGAACATATGACAATGGAAAGGAGTTTGTTGAAGCTACGCGCAAGGCATTGACCGAGGAGCCTGCCCCTTTGACCGATACACAAAGACATGAGCTTTCATGGGAGGCCGCAACAGAGAGGTTTATAAAAGCTGCTGAGTTGGACCAGGCACCACCAACTGCTGAGCTGGACCAGGCACCTCCAAAGCGAGTGCTGAATAAGATCCCTTCAAAGCTTTTTGCGTCAGCATCTATGAATTTGAGGAGCAACATGGAAGATGCATCGGCGTATGTGCATTATGTTGGAACTGGGTTTGTGGGTTCGCAACCAGACGAAGATCAATGCAAGCAGCTAGGTTTGGCGGTCCCTTCGCGGAGACGCATATCTCGACGATGATTGTATTGATGCTCATTTTGTTAGATCAATCTCAGGACACTTTGATGAATGGCCTACCAAAATGCTGCCACTGGTGGATTGGGTTTCTTTTGTTCACTTCTGTGGTGTAGTCTAAAATTGGAAATTATACAACGAGGGTAGGGACTCTTTGACTTTTTTATGTATATTTTTATTCAAAATTAAATAGATATTATATGGATAAATTTTATTTCCACAAACACGTTACGTGTTTTTTACCTAGTGTTTATATTCAAGTAAAAACCGTTGTTAGCAATAATGCTTTTTAAGAAAAATGTGATTGCTAGCCATGTTCTAGGGTATTTTGGGAATAAAATGTCTCTATGCTATTTGTTTAATTTTGAAAAAAAAAAATGTAAATAGGTTAAAGAGATGGGTAGGTTTTAGGATTCTGCTCTCATCATGGTTTACTAATTCTTGAACCCTTAAGAACTCAAAAAACCATCACCAAATAGGTTTGTGGATCATAATAATATAATAGATATTGTATATTTATCATCTTTGTATTGGATGCATTTTGTGTCCAAATTTCAGTTCTTGCTACACACAAAAGAAAATTACTCAGGAATTTTTAATGAAAATTTTACTTAGACTGTGGAGCTTAGGAGGTAGATTTAAAGTTTGTACTGTGGTTTATATTCAAAATTAATCTTTTCCACATTTTAATTGTGGATAGTTTTTGTGTGTATGTAGCAAAATTAGGTCCAAATGTTACCCTATTTGGTTTTGAATTTTCAAAAACATTTTCTGAGTTTTTAATTCGTATTTTTGTATTTTTAACGATTTTTTTTAGTTAATTATCTAAAAGTCCTATTCACAAATTTTATTATAGCTCAGGTCCTATCAAAGATTTTTTAAACCAATAAGTCTTATTTAGTAAAACTGAAAATATTATCATTTTTTTTCAATTTTTAAAATTAAAAATATTATCAATTTTGCATAGTAATAATTCAGGTAATTGTTTCACTAATTGATGAAAAAAATAAAGTATGAGATTAAACGTTTTGTCCTTCTACTTATTAATTTGATTCAACAATCTAATAAAACTGAGAATATTATCAGTTTTTTTCATTTTTGCACATCAATGTTCAATCATCTTACTCTTTTATAGACACAAATTTTTTCAATTTTATAAAAATAATAATAATAATTCAGTTTTTTCAATTTTTTCAAAACAAAAAAAACATTTGAAAGGTAATTTAGTTTTTTTTCACATAAATTTTTTTTTATTTTAAAAATTTGAAAGTTGATGTTTTTAAAGTTTTGAAAATTAAAATAAATGTCAAATCATCATGTTCCTTTATAGATGATTATAAATGATGAACAATCATTATTTGAAGGATAATTTGTACTATTAAAAATTTAATGGGACTTAAACGTCAAAAAAATCTTAGTTAAGACTTAATGGAGTATAAGAGCATCTCCAATGGTAGTAGGCATTTTACCTATCTAAATATTACTATAAAGTATACATTTTATTTTGCCTATCAACGATTTCATGTTTCTGCCCCAACCATGCTCTTTATTTTAGCTATTCATCCAAATACTATTAACTTTATAGAATGCCACATCAGCAACAAAGATGGAAGGAAATAATCTTAATGATTAAATACATTTTGCCTAGCCTTGAAGGCTAGCTACATGTAGCTAGTGAATGTGAGCTGAGCCAAAATGCCTAAGCATATGCCTAGTGCATTGGAGTTGAAAAAAGTGAGTCACATTAGGCATTTTGACTAACAAGCATCATATGCCTAGTGGGTTGGAGATGCTTCATAAATTAAGACTTGTGTGTAAATGTCCATTTTTAAAAAAAATATTTGAATCAAATTTTTTTTTTTTTAACCCACTTAATCTTATAATACTTAAAAAGTAAAAAACTTGTACAATTTTTTTTTTATAAAAAATTCATTGAATACAACAAAATAAGAAAATGTATTAGATTTTTTTTTTTTATTTGATAATTTTTTAAAGTTTTTTTTCTACAAATATTATACTTTTTAAGAATATTTGGATTGGATGTATCTATAAAATATATAATAAAAAAAATTGCATAAAATATTTCAAATAATCACTAAAAACAATTCTCATTGCAGCATGGTGAAAGAATTAGAAACAGGCACGTCTCAATTATTTTTAACATTTTGGGAATTAATTCTCAAAATAACATTGGAAAAACATTCACAAACACATGAGAGAGATGCTAATAAGCAAAGTAGTGTCAGAACATTGTGCCTATTTGGCACACAGCTTATTTTCAGTTTAAATTCACTTATAGCTTAAAATAAGTGATTTTGGTGTGTTTGGTGTAACTTATAGCCGTGTTTGGCAAGGCTTATTTCTAGCTTATTTCAGTTTTTAGCTTAATTTAAGTTATTTTGATGTGTTTGGTTCAGCTTAACAATACAGCTTATAACTTTTTATAAGTCAAAAATCAACTTATTCTTTGAGTAGGGGAGGAGAAGCTTAATTTATAAGTCAAAAATTAGCTTATGTTCACAGCTATAAGTTATAAGCTGTTAGGCTATAAGTTATAATCTCTTTCCCATAGCTCTACCAAACATGGCCTATGAGTGTAGATTATAGCTTTTTTATAGTGGAAAATGAGCTTTTTGGTTGAGTGGGGAAGGAGGTGCTTTCCAAAACAGCTTAAGTGGGAAACTGCCATTTGAGGGGCAAAATGACTTAAATACCCCTCATAATTTCAAGTTATTACAAGTGTGCCATGTATATAAACCAAAACATATTCATTTTTCTCTCTCGCAATAACCAAAGAGGTGATTTTCCAGCGACTGGAGGCGATTCCTGGTTCTGTCTCTCTGTCTCTCTCTCTTCGCGAACTCTCTCTCTCTCTCTCTCTCTCTTTGTGGTTCATGCGGTCTGAAACCCTAACATCGTGACCGGAGAACCACCTCCATCTCATCAATGAACAAGAGCTCTCTCTCTCTTCACGATCTCTCTTTTCTCTCTCTCGCTCGCTCTCCCACGATCTGTTTCGTCGTCACCTCTGATCACCACCACAATCGCGATCTGAAATCTAACCACTGCCATCGCGATCGACCCGTGCTCTCTCTCTTCCTCTCTCTTTGCGATTGCGATCTGAAACCCTAATCACCATTATCCCCCTCTCTCTCTCTCTCTCCCTCTCTCTCGATCTGCATTGTTTGTCACTGTCGCCGTCGTGATCGCGATTTGTGTTGATCTGCGTTGAAACCCTAGCCACCGGCGGTTGTTCGCCGACGGCGTTGAAACCCTATAAAAAAAAATGAAGAAAAAAGAAAAAAAATCAATATTAGTATTAATTAAAAAATAAAAAAATGTATGTTTTTGAAGAAAAAAAATAATATTAATTGGTATTAATTATTAATAAATTAATATTGTATATTTTTGTAATTAATTAATTATTAATTGATACTAATTAATAACAATTGTTGATTATTAATATTATACGATACTAATAAAAATTAATTATTAATATTAATTGATACTAATTAATAATTTTAGTATTAATTGATACTAATTAATTTATAATGGAAAAAATTGTTACAATAATACTTCCATTACATTTTTATCAAATGTATCAATTTTTATATTAGTTGATACTAATTATATTAACTTTTATTAATGAAATAATATTTTTAAATTAAAACTGAAAAAATGACAAAATTATCATTGTTATATCATATAAGGGCAAAAAGGTCAATTATACAGAAAAACTATTTTACAGCTTATCAACTAAACATTACTCTGCTACTTAAATCCATAATCCCACAGCTGTACAAAACAGGTTAACAGCTTATGTTCATAACTATAAGCTATAATCTATAATCACTTTCCCGCAATTCTACCAAATGGGGCCATTACTTTGGTCGGAGTCACGGACGCAAAACTATTACACGGAGAGAGCCAAGCCTGTGTTTGGCAAATGGGTTTGCAGACTTTTTTGACTATTTTAGCCACAAAAAACAAAATAGGCTATTTTAGCCATAACAAACAAAACATCACATCCAACCCATAATCATTACATTTTTCTCTCACAAAAAAACTCAAAAAAGCCAAAAAGTCAAAAAGCCATTCCCAAACCAAGCTTTTAAGCCCAGGCTAAAATAGCCAAAAAAGCCAAAAAGCCAAAAAGCCAACCCACTTCCCAAACAGAGGCTTACATGGATTTGAAATTAAATGGTTGTTTGATATGTGTTAAAATAGCACATGTTATTTTAGTATATTGTTTTATTTAAGTCATAATTATCTTATTTAAGTCTTATTATCTTTCTATCATATCACTTCAAACTCAATCTATGTTTCACAGTTTTTCGTAAAAAATCAAAAAATATATTAATTTAACACTTCCCAAATAACCCCTAAGTATCGATATATATTATCATAAATTTACAATTATCATCACAATTGTTACAACTATAACTACTACCACAACTACACTTACAACCACCACTATCATGCCAATGCCACCGCCACCACCAATACCATTACCACCATCTCCGCTACCATCACCATCGTGACAGCACCACCACTATCACCACCACCTTTATCACTATTGTTATCATTGTTGTAATTATTGCTCCCTTCGTCCAAAAATAATAGTCATTTTTGTGGAATTAAACTTTTTTTTGTAGTACAATTATTGCACTTTAAAAATTAATTTTCCAAAACTATCCTTTAATAGTACATTTTTTTGGAAATATCAATTGTCATAATTATACTTTTTATGTTATTAGTGAATTTAAAATAAGGATACAATAAGAAATTTATAGTATTTGAGCTTTTGATTTTTGAAAATTGACTAATATTTTTTAACAATGAAAAATGAAATAAATGACTAATAGTTTGGGACAGAGGAAGTATCATTATTTTATTATTACCACCACATTACCACAATCGCTATTGCCATTACTATCACCACTATAACAACTACGACAACCCTTTACCTTGAGAACCATTGTCACTATTGTCATAATCATCATTACAATAATCATTATCATTACACCGTCGCAACCATCTCTTTTTATCTTCACAACATTACCATTCCACCATCACTACAACCACTATCTATCTATCTCTACCACCATTGTCATTAGCATCACAGCTAACGAAGTAGCCTCCTCCACCACTATCAACTCACCATCATAATATGAAAATTAAAATATATCATTTAAAAGTAATAAATTTCAAATTTGACATTATGCATATTAAATAACTTATTTTAGTTCACCACTTAAATTTTTATTAAATAAATTTTTAACTTAAAAATTTAACATTTAATTTTAAGTACTTAATTTGATCAAACACCAACATCTTGTTGAAATTTTATTAATACAATGTAAATTACGGGACTAGAAAAGTTTTAGTTCAGTTCATCAAAGGTGTTGGCTTTTGATCCGATGGGCCACACCTTTCGAGTTCACAGACCAAAAATGAAAGGGTAAATTAAGGATGAATTATACTAATCGTCTTTATAATTTGAGGTATATATTATTTTAGTTTTTAACATTTTAACTATAAAATATTTAATCTTGAATTTTGAATTTTATTTTAAATAAAAATAATTGAAGATACCATTGTTTAATTCCAATGGCAAAATTACCAATTTAATAACATATAAACTAATTTTATAAAAATAAATGTCAAAAAAATATTTTTAAATTTTTAAAAATTATTTTTACCCACTAAAGATAAAATTATGTAAAATTAATAAATCATTTAGAAATTTTTTTTATGAAATTAATTTTTATTATGTGTTTGGATGACGATCATGTAATGAATAGTTGTTTTTATATTCATTAAATTAGTTTCTATTTTTTTAAAATTCAAATATGGCAACAATTTTGATATTATTATTAAACCAATCCATTAAATTAAAAAATACAAAACTAAAAATATTTCATATATTAAATATATCGATTACACATTAAAATCTTAACAACCACCCATTACATGACTATCATTTAAACATATAATAAAAATTAATTTAGTAAAAAAATAAATAAACTAGTATCTAAAATATTTATCAGTTTTACATAATTTTATCTTTGGTAGATAGAAATAATTTTAAAAAATTTAAAAATATTTTTTTAACATTTATTTTTGTCAAATTAGTTTATATTTTATCAAATTGACGATTTTGCCATTGAAATTAAGCAATGGTATTTTCAATTGTCCTTATTTAGAACAAGATTCAAAATTCATGATTAAATTTGTCACAATTAAAAGTTACCAAAGTGACACAAGTTCTAAACTATAGGAATTGTTAGTGTAATTCGCTCTTTACTTAGACAATGATAATTGAAATCTTTTTTTTTTGAACCCCACAACTCTATTTCTATTTCGATCTCAACTATTAATGGTGCGGGTCGTACATATACATGAGTAAGTCTCACACATACATTAATAATTGAGATCCAAAAAGGATGGTGAGAGTCCCAAAAAAATGAGTCCCAAACATTTATCTTACTTAAACTACCTATTGCTTCTTATAGTTGCGAAAATTATAAAAAGTTTTGGTTAAAATTTTTTATCTAAATAATTTTTTTAAATATTATTTTTATTATAATAAAATTCTATATTAGTAATTGAAATAAAATTTTAATATTATTAAAAATTATTAATTAACTTGATAATTTATTAATAAAAATATTCATTTATTATAAAATTATAAATTTTAAAAATAAAATGTAATTTATAAAATTATATAATAAATAATTTGTATTTTAAACAAAATTTAAAATTTACCTAAAATAGAAAGCAGTAACTTTGCAGATAGGCCATCGTCCCCTCGGCCTCAGCCCTCCTTGGGTGCGCCGCATGCATGAGAGGTTTTGATGGTTGCTTGGTGTTGCTGCCTTTTTCAGCTTGTTTCCTTACCTTTGGGTGATTAGGTCGCTGTCTTTTTTGCTGGTTCGGAAGATCCACCAGCATAGTTCGATGCGTAAATGGAGACCTCAGCTTTTTTAGCATAGTTTATGTAACGCATAAGATCTTCCACACTGTTGAATGAAGAAGCCCTAACCAAACGAAATCAAGAAATCGAAATCGTGTAATCGCACAAAACACAACCTCGCTGGTTCGATCAACCTTGGATACTCAACCACACAATGACGGTTGATACTCAATTCTCTCTCTAATTCATTATACACACTCACATATGAGCATTTTTACATACATGTATAGATTGTGTATCAATCGTGCATCCGATTTATTGAATTTTTCTGTGTTGTCATTGTAGAGGGAGAAAGTAGAGAAAAAGAGTAACAGAAGAAATGGCAGAAGAGAGCTTTCTGGATTTGAAACCCAACTTCAGAAAAATCCGGTACTCATGTTTAGATTACATATTAGGGTTACTGTTATTGTTTAATACTATTTAACTGTTGGGATTGAGGAGCTTTTTTTTTAAACCAAACACATGTGATTTTGAAATTCATGTTGTTTTGTGGGTTCATGCACTAAGTCATGTTTTCAAAATGCGGCTGAAGTTTGTTTTCAAATCAGGACCTCAGAAAGCATGATGGGTTTGAGTAATAAAGGACTTGGGTTTGGGAAATAAATATGGAATTGAGCTTTCTAGGTTGTATGGATTTCTTTTTAGCTTGTATTGATGTCTTATATGTTTTTGAAATCAATTGAAGTTATTGAGTGGTAGAAAAAAACTGAGCTTTCTTTGTAATTGCTTGTGCGATTTTGTTGCTTAGTTTATTTGATCACTTTCACTTGATTACATCATTTGTGATGCATTAGTGCGTCACATTATGTTAAGCAAACGTAATTTGATCATATTTGTATTGAGTTTAAATGTTGTTTTCTTGGGCTAGTGGAATTAATGAGTCTTTGAACTGGCCTGCTAGGTTATGGAAAACTTGGGATGTGTGAAATGTTCTTGTTTTTTTAGTTTTGTCAAACATTGAGGTGCCTAGTTCATTGTCAAAAGGGTAATGCTATGGACACCAAATTTTCTACCAAACAAATGACCAAATGTCTCACATGGGTGTGGGGTCCGCAATTTTGTGAGCCCCACACCCATGTGAGACATTTGGTCATTTATTTGGTAGAAAATTTGGGACCTCTAGCATTTTCCATCACGTTTAAGACCGAAATTGACATGGGATGTGATAGTAAAACGGATGTGAATTTATTTGATTTAGTTGAGTATATAGCCCTTGGCAGAGTGGAATGGAATGGCGAAAAAGAATATAGCCCTAATTATTCATGCGTAACCTTAATTAATCAAGATTATCGTAATTAATCACACTTGACCACAATTAATCTTGATTTACTTTTTTGATATACGACATTAACTCATGTAAGTTAAGCACCCTAATTAAGCAAAACCAAAATTAGGTAAAATCACATTAGCCAATTAGTCATGCATTTGTTAGAAATCCCTAATGTATCACAAGCAAAATGTGCTACACAATCAATTATATGGAATGTAAGATACACAAGAATGAATTAAATATATAGTTGGACTTGGGTCATTACATATGTGCAAATATTTGCAATTTGTCTTATTAGGACGATTGGGGCAGGTTTTAATTTAGGTAGGGGTGGGTTGCAAAGTAGGGATGAATCTGGGCTTAAGGGAGACCTTTTGCTTAGTTATGTATTGATATTACTAAACTATGTCATTATTTCTTGGGTAAATTACATTGACACTCATTTATTCTTCTAAAATCACACTAACAGCCTCTTTATTCTTGAAATATCACTGCCCTCCCTTACTTTTGATTTTAGAGTATCAATTTCATCCATCTGTCAGTCAACTGTTTGTTGTCCAACGAAAATTGTTAATTTGAAAAAAAATATTTTTTCCAAAATATCTATTTTATTCTTGTACGCCACTACCCCTCAAGAACATAAGCACTTCAAATACATGGGATAGAAGCACCATCATGATAGAATTCATCATTCCTTATAGACCCAACAACAAAATCCTAGGAAGCATGGGTGCAGGTACGAACGTGGGTGCGAGTACATTATGAGTATGTCAATACGGAAAAAAAAAAAGAAAAAAAGTAGGCTACAAGTACGGTCCGGTACGTCTATAATATTTTTTTTTTTTATAATTTATACTAGTAACTAGTACATGACATGATATATAATAATTAAAAAAATCAAATATAAAAAATAATTAAGTATTTCAAGTATTTTTTATATGTTTAATAATTTTAAAAATACATATTTTTAAAGCTTTAAAAAATAGGCACGATTGCACGTATGGAGGAGATTAGCCAGATTGCACGTATGGAGGAGATTAGCTTTCGACAAAAGTCTAGATGTTTGTGGCTGAAGGACGGGGATCGAAATACCAAATTCTTCCATCATATGGCTAATGCCCATCGCAGGGTGAATCAAATTGGCAGATTGCGAGTAAATGGTACGGAGTTGTCTTCTTCAGAGGAGATTAAGGCCGGGATTGTGGGCTTCTATGAGCATCTATTTCGGGACGAGGGGTAGGTGTGGAGGCCAAGTTTGGATTGAGTTGTGTTCGATGTTATTTCAAAGGCGGATAACTGCATGCTTGAACGGGCTTTTGCAGAAGATGAGGTGTTTGCGGCTTTGCGAAGTATGCCTGGTGATAAGGCTCCGGGTCTAGATGGCTTCTCGATAGCCTTTTATTAGCAGTGTTGGGGGGTGGTAAAGGCAGATGTGATGGCCATGTTTGAGCAGCTTTATCAGACCGGGGAGTTTGAGCGTAGTCTCAATGCCACGTTTATTGCTTTGCTCTCCAAGAAGGGCGGGGCGGAGGATATTCGGGATTATCGCCCTATTAGTCTTTTGGGGAGTATGTACAAGTTGTTGGCAAAAGTGTTGGCCAATAGGTTACGTAGTGTGTTGGAAGGGGTGGTTTCTGAGTCTCAAAATGCTTTTGTGGGTGGGCGGCAAATTCTAGACGCGGTCTTAGTGGCGAATGAGTGCGGATTCTAGGATTCGCCAGGAACAAGAGGGGCTTATTTGCAAACTTGATATCAAAAAGGCATATGATAACGTCAATTGGAAATTTTTATTGTATATGTTGTACAAATTAGGTTTTGGGGAGAGGTGGCAGAGGTGGATTAAATTCTATATATCTACGGTGCGGATGTCGGTTCTTGTTAATGGGTCTCCAGCGTGATTCTTTCCTACTTATAGAGGTTTACGGCAAGGAGATCATTTATCTCCTTTACTGTTCATTTTGGTGATAGAGGTGTTGGGGCGTTTGTTATCTAGAGTGGTACAAGGTGGTTTGTTGCATGGGTTTGAGGTGGGGGTGGCTCCAGCAGTTTTGACGGTTTTACATTTGTTTTATGTGGATGATGCGTTTATTTTTTGCAATGCGGATGTTACTCAGATTGGACATTTGAGATGTGTGTTGTTGTGTTTTGAGGCAGTGTCGGGCCTTCGGGTGACTTTGGCAAAGTCGGAGCTGATTCCAGTGGGAGAGGTGGCACGGATTTCGATATTGGCAACTATTCTGGGTGTAGGGTGGCGTCTCTCCCAGTTTCATATCTGGGTTTACCTCTAGGGGCATCATTCAAGGCGACGGGGGTATGGGATGGGGTGGTGGCCCATGTTCAGCGGCGACTGGCAGGCTGGAAAAGACAGCATTTATCAAAAGGTGGTAGACTTACATTGATTAAGAGTGTCCTGTCCAGCATTCCGACTTACTTTATGTCCGTTCATGTGATTCTGGTGTCTGTAGCAAAGCGGATTGAGCGGTTGCAGAGGGATTTCCTCTGGGGAAATGGGAGGGAGGGTTCTTATCATTTGGTGGCTTGGGATCGGATTTGTAGTCATAAGGTTTATAGGGGTTTGGGGGTTCAGAGTTTGGTCCTGTTTGATGTGGCTTTGTTGGGCAAGTGGTGGTGGCGTTTTGTGGAGGAGAGGGACCGCCTTTGGAGGAGGGTGGTGGTTGCGAAGTTTGGTGTGGGGAGGGGAGGGTGGTGTTCAGGTAGGGTGGGGCAATCGCATGGCCATGGTCTTTGGAAAGGGATTTGGTTGGGGTGGGAGGAGTTTTGGAAGAGAGTTCTGCTCTAGGTAGGGGTGGGGGATAGAATTTGATTTTGGCAGAATAGGTGGTGTGGTGACATTCCATTGGAAGTGCGGTTCCCTTTGATTTATGGTCTTGCCGTTGACAGAGAGGTCACGGTGGGTGATGTAAAGTGTGGGCATGGGGATTCGATTGTTTGGAATGTGCACTTGCGCCGTGTTATTCAGGATTGGGAGTAGGATCAGTTGATGGCGCTGTTAGGTTTTTTATATGAGTTGCGAGTTGGAAGGGCTAGGCAGGATTCTTTGGTTTGGAATTGTCTTGGGGCTAAGGGGAAGTTTTCTGTGTTCTCGTATTATGCAGTGCTAGCTCATGCAGAGGCTGTTGTTTTTCCGTGGAAATGTGTCTGGGTGTCAAGTTCGCCATCCAACGTGGCCTTTTTGGTATGGACGGCCATGTTGGGGCGTATCTTGGCATTGGATAATCTAATCCGCCGTGGCCATATATTGATCAATTGGTGCTTCATGTGTTGTGGTGATGTGGAGTCAGTGGCCCATTTGCTAGTTCATTGTCTAGTTACTCATCGCCTTTTGGATGCTTGTGGTCGCGACTTTTGGTTTGGCTTGGGTGCAGCCGGTTTCAGTTACGACATTTTTGCAATGTTGGATGGGGGGTCGTGTTGGTAGGCGGCGTCGAAAAGCGTGGTTTCTTGCTTCTCATTGTCTTGTCTGGTTGGTTTGGTTGGAATGTAATAGGCGTGTTTTCCAAGGGGTGTCTCATTCGGTTCCTTGGTTGGAATAGCGGCTTCTCTCGGTGTTATATAATTGGGTTATGGGATTGGTTGATCCAAATGTTTTGACTTTTATAGATTTTGTGGATGATTTGATTTCTTATTGAGCCTATATGAGTTGTTTTTGCATTCTTTGCATCGTCTTGATGCTTTACTAACCAAGTTTGTTCATGTATCCAAAACAACAAAGGTAAAAAAAAAAAAAAAAAAAGGCACGATATAAGCATTCTAGTAATTAAATTTTTTTTTTATGCCCCAATGTATCCATAAAAGTATCCAAGCTCTACCCGTCTCGCGCCCACCCCATGCATGCCGTACCCATCTTGTACCCAAAGTATTTCATGTACTAGACAAGTATTTTGCGTACCTAGTACACATGCAGCTATACCGGTACACTCATTGCGTAAGTTCTCAATACTCGTACACCAATATTTTTGGAGTACCCATCCTTCATAGGTAGAATCTAACATCAGCTCAATCTGTCCATACAAATCTACTAAATGCGAAACGCTCGTTCTGCAATCAATGAATATTTTATTGCTATTTTATTATGAAT